AGGGGCAATCTCCTCCTGTACCAGTCAGATCTGATTTGACAGTACACGCACACACACACACACACAAAATAAAAGAAAAAAAAATAATAATTTCTACATCTGAAAAAAACAATGCCTATTTAAGTACTAGTGATTCAGGAAAAAGTCTCCTTCTTGGTAAACAGGCAGATTAAGATACAGTTTACTGGGGAAACAACCTCAAAGAGATCTAGGAGAGATGCATATCCTCTCCTGGTAAACAGACAGATTAAAACTACTCTACATGACCAAAGAAAGGAAACAGAATTCTGAGGCTAATTAACTTGTATTGCAGGCTGAGGAAAACTGATGTTCCTTTTATAACTATATATAACTGTGGTTATAGAGAATTCTGAACTTATTAATACCACCCCATCATAGGTGCCACTGGAAACGCTACAAACTCTCATAAATGTACAGAAATTATGTTAATCATAGAACAGAGTTCAGGTCTTCTATGCAAAGCTTACTCTGAGTCATATGCAACTCGACAACACTTAACCACTACTGAGACTAGTGTTATATTTTGGGTGAACATTCTTCCACTTTTCATATCACTCTTTGTCAGTGTGCTGTATGAGGTAACATGGGTTTGCTATGATGCTGAACATTATGCCATGGGGATATCAAATACCAGAATGGTTTTCCATTGTGGGCAGGGTTTTTGGTGGATCTCTCAGTTGTAAAACAGGTTCAGAAGCAGGAGTGGCATCCACTTCCTAAACCACATGCCTCTGGAAACTCTATGAACTTGGAGAAACTGTTAGGTGTTTGTACTGGATGTAAGACCAAGGACTCAAGGAAGGGAAAGAAAGGAAGCTAAAGAAGCGTTATTAAGGGGTCTCCTGGTCTGCAGAGAGAAACAGACAGAAGGACAGACCAGGGAAATACCGTACTCTCAAGTGGATTAGGGCAGGTTTCCTAGTGAGGGTCTTTAGGGAGGGAATGGTGGGACATTTCATTGTGGTTTAGCCAGGTGGGTGGTCTTCTACAGATTGAAGGGGGGGCATTCCATGGTAGTTGAGGCTGTTCACTCCCTTTGTTGACATGTTGATATTCCTTGAATTCTGTGTTCTCGCTTTTACCTTTTCCTGGCCTGACAGAAACAATGACAGCTATGGAACGGCGTTAGGTTTTTTCTTAGAGTGGCTATGAGTCGACCTTGATTCAAGGGCATTCAACAAAACATTTCTCATTTTGAGACCATATCATATTTTGTTTCTTTGAAACATTTTTCTGTCTTTTCCAGGACATTTTTTCCAACTGTATGAAAGAGATGTTTTCTCTTCTCTGAGGCTCAGCAGAAACACTGGTTTAAAGAGAATAAATGGATTTTGCACCAAACCACAGGAAAGTCCGAAAGCTCCATCTCGTAAGTTTCAGTTGATTTTTCCAGTTATGGATGAGGCAGTAAGTAGAAGCTGTAGTCAGTCAAAGCTGAAAAACACCATGAACAAAGGTGAGGGTGAA